CTCCAAAAGCCAAGACTATGCCCCTTTACCCTCCTTAACATACATATCTTTTATCTCTTTCTCTTTCTCTATCTCTCTCTCATTATCCTTGCCTCTCCCATCTCTCTATTTGGCCTCCTCCCTCCTTTCTCTCCTCTCTTTTCTTTCCTCGCTTCCCCCTACCCCACCCCACCAATCTTCTTTCCTTTCTTCCTACAACCCTCAATCCCAGTTTACATATTTCTTGTTTTAATTTTAAGGAATATTTGTTAAAGATAGTGTAATCGATCATCGTTCTACTCTAATTATTTTGTCAACTAATGAAGAATATATTATGAGTTTGTTGAATTGTGACTTGGAGGTCACAAGTAAGAAATGGGAAACAGCCTCTCCGCATGTTAAGGTAAGGCTTCATACGTCTAACCCTCCCCAGACTTCTCAATGATGTAGTCTTGTGTAATGAGTTAACCTTCTCTCTTGTTTTCCTCAATTTTTCTATTACAGCAGCCAAAGAAAGTAATAACAATTTTGGTCCTTGTGGACTAATTATTTTGTCCTCTTAGAATCTAGATCATGAACGAATGATCCAAATTCTTGATAATTAATACATATGTGCAGATCTTCTGGAAAAGACGGTGGCTGTCAGGGTCATTTGTACAAGGGCAAGAGCGAGAGTTGCTGAATCAGCCCAGAAGGTAACTACAATTTTAATTCATGTTCACATTTTCTTTTTTATTTGTTGGACTTCATCTCATGCATTAATGGATCATGTCAAGCAGGAGATTTTGGAGATGATTCGTGATATTAACACTGACGCAGATCAAATTTGCAAGGTGATCACTGCGAAGCTGGAGAGATTCCAGCATGCTGTGATTCCTCAAGAATGGCAGTCTTGGTGGAATCAGGAGTTACATTACTGGCTATATATCGCGGAGTGATTCCTATTGAAGTTTGCTTCAATCCTACTTATGTGTAACAAAGTTTCACCTCAAATTATCACTCTCAAGATGTTGTTATTTTATTAAAACAATCCTTTTCAGAAAGCAAAAATCGAAAAAGGATATGTGCAGAGACTCAATGGAAGTTGTTCTAACATATGGAGTTGACTACGTTGCTATGTTAGAAGAATCTTTTCATCAAACTTCAAAAAGAATGAAGGATAAAACTATATACATACGTATACGTATTGAAATATTATATCAAATGATTAATGACAACACGAATCTGTATCTGTATTTTTTTTATATGAAAAATCAAAGAATTGTTATGAATCGATTCCAAATTGAAGAAATAATCGATCAAAATTGCTCTGCCATCTTATTTAGATTTTTTTTTTTTTCAATGATTGACTTGTATCATTACTGTCTCCAATCAGCAAAATAAGTATAGCTTTTTACAACATAACAAATAAACTGTTGTGTTTTTTTTTTAAACACATTAACAAATTTCTGAATTTGGCATTTGGGAAGAGATGTCTGGCATAGGAACTCTGAGAGAGAATAATCTCAACTATGTTGGACCACTTCAACTTTTTCTAGAATCATTCGCTCATTATACAAAATAACTTGACTCCATCTTTTTTTTTTTTGTTTTTTTTTTTTTGATAAGTAAAATGTATTAGAAAGCGTTCAAGAGGGGAACGTATCCCAAAAGCTGTACAAAATTAAGACCAATAAAAAAAACGTTACAAAGTTAGCCTGGATTTTATCTGGTATATAGTTTTTATAAGTAAAAACCATCGGCAACATTAAGAAGAATACTTTCAAAATACTAAATACTCAGCCTTAAATTAGTTCCCAGGATGAGACACGTGAACAATATGCACTGGCATATTCAACGCATGTGAACAATATGCACTGGCACATTCAACGCATACCCTCCAAGACTAAAATAATTAAGAAAAATACAGACTTACCATGTATTTCTCATTTATGATATTTGGGTGTCATAAAGACAGATTATGAGAACGGTTAAATTTTTAATTTTAAATCAGTTTTTTGTAATTTTAAATCAGTTTTTGTATGACACGCGCACTTGAGCAATATGCAACGCCATTGTGGAACAAGAATCACATGCTCTGCATGTCAAACATGTTCTCATATGACTAAATAGGTAAGAAAAAAAAATAAATAAATAAAAATAAAAATGAAAAAATAAAAAATGAGGAAAAGAATTTAAATAACTTTTGACAACAAGAGACACGTGAGTGACATTAAATGCGACGATATTAAACGGCATTGTCCTGTAGATGGTTTTTATGAGTAAAAACCATGGGCAACATTAAGAGGAATACTTTGAACACAATAAATATTGTCTTAAATCAGTTTCGTCATAAGATGAGACACGTGAGCGTTGTGCACTGGCATATTGAACACATCCCCTCTAAGACTAAAATAATTAAGAAGAATATAAATTTATGATTTTTGAGTGTCATAAAGAGAGATTATGAGAACGGTCAAAATTTTAATTTTAAATCAGTTTTTTTTTATGAAATGTGCCACACGAGCGATATTTAACAAGTATCATATGTGCTGGCATGTCAAACATGTTCCCATAAGATTAAAGAAGGAAAGAAATTTAAATTTAAAATTTTTTTATACAAGCAACACGTGAGTGATACACAGTGGCATTGTCAAATACGTGTCCAACAAGATTAAGACTAATAAAAATACACTACAAATTTAGTTTGGATTTTGTCTGGTATATGGTATTGAAAGAAATCCATGTGGCCAACCTCATTTGTGCATGATAAATGCAGAAATGACGATAATGTTGAAGAAAAAAACCATGGGCAACATTAAGAGGAATACTTCGAAAACAATAAATACTGTCTTAAATTGGTTCTGCCACCGGATGAGAAACGTGAACGATGTGCACTGGCATATTGAACACATCCAAGGCTAAAATAGTAAAAAAAAAGTATAAAGTTAGCATGTATTTCTCATTTATGGTTCTCAGGCGTTATAAAGACAGATTATGATAATGGTTCTAATTTTAAATTTAATAAGTTTTTGTAGGACGTGTGCCATGTGAGTGACTTGCAATGACACTGTACAACAAGTATAAAATGCTTGTCATGTCAAACATATCTCTCACAAGACTAAAGTAATTAAGAATAATATAGAGCAAGAATTGAAAGGGTCCCATCTCCAACAGCAAAAACACTGCCCCTTTACCCTCCTTATCATACATAGCTTTTATATCCTTCTATATCTCTCATTCTCTCTTTCTCTTGGCATATCCTCCACACCCCTCTTCTTTCTCTCTATTGTCCTTCTCCTTCCTTTCTCTCCTCTTCTATTTTCTTTCCTCCCTTGCTTCCCCCCATCTTCTTTTCTTTTTTCCTACTACCCTTAATCCCTCTATTCTTAGTTTCATTTTTCTTGTTTTAATTTAAGGGAAGTTTTTAAGTTAATGCAATTGATCATCATTCTACTCTTTTTTTTTCAACTAATGAAGAAAATATATGATTGGGGATCTTGGCGTAATGATAAGGTTGTTCCATTGTGACTTAGAGGTCATGAGTTCGAAACGGGAAACAGCCTCTCCGCATGTGAAGGTAAGGCTTCATACATCTCACCTCCCAAAACAATTTAATGATGAGAGTTTTGTGCACTGATCTAGCGAAAATATTACATTTTTTTTTTTTTTAAAGCCTAGCGAAAATAATACATTCTCAACAAGAAAATGTATATTTTTACTTATACTGATATTCACTGTACATTTAAGCGCCAACTTTGGCTTAAGTCATTCCAGGGACCAAAAAGAAAGAATCAAGGTAAGGTCATTCTTGCTCTTCGCATTCAATTGTTCTACACAATTAAACAAGATTGTTTAAGAATATTTGGTCATGGCACGCTCACAAATTGACTAAATTGTCTTTAGGTCGATTTTGGGGGCAAACATTAAGAAAAGCTCCAACTCCATAATTCCATATCCCGCGCCCAATTCTCTCTGATTCTTGAAAGAGGCTCAACATTAAGATACTATTGACACTTCTAAAATTACCAATAACTTTTCCTATTTCCAAGGCAGTTAAACTGCACTTTCAATAACAGGTATATGCGAAAAACTAAAACACAACCCTTTTTTTTTTTTTTTTTGGTCAGGTGAGTGCATACACAGTTTTGCCCACACCCAAGCTCGAACCCCTCCCTTCCTCTTTGAGGAAAGGAATGTTATACCATTGGGCTAGAGGCCTTTTGGTACACAAACACAACTTACTACACACTACTTACTAGGCATAACAAATAACATCATTTACCAGACACTAATGCACATATTCACAGTTTGGTTTATGCTCTTTAGCTTTTTAATCATCTTAGTGATTTGTATATTCATTAACAAGGATTAATTTTGTAGAATGAAGATGCAATCCAACATGAGAAGGAAAAGCCGGATTGGCTTCAGCCATTTCTGCAATGGACCTTCCTCATCTCTTGTTCAATTCATGAAGCTAGCAAGAATGAGTTAAACAAGTACTGCATCACCTGCGAGTTACCTGCCTGCCGACACTATATCTCTTCGGATACTCATGGCCAACACAAGGTGCTTAAAATTAATCGACATGTCTACAGGGATGTTGTCCTCCTTAACGACATGGAGAAGCATATTGATTGTTCTAAAATTTAAGCTGGATTGAATTCTTACTCTCAGCTTATCATTATCATGTCGCTATTGGTATGAATACTTATTATCCCGCCATGTAAATAACATTATAAAGTGGGAGACGTGCGGAAATTTTCTAATCATATCTTTATGTAACATGTATATCACTACTTCTATTCAGTTTTCTTCATTAAATCATTTTCCAAACCATATAAATATCACAAATCTCAAGAGAAGTTTCAATAGCACAAATATAGAGTAAAATCCATTTAAGAAAATCATGCCATATCAATTCAATCAATAGAAGCATTCCAAACAATTATATTTTCTAGCAACAACATATAATTCTTCAATAAACAGAAGAAGTAAAGAAAATTGTGTTCTGGGAAAACATTTGTTGCCAAAAATCTTACCTGAATGAACTGGTGTTGAATCTGAAGATGATATCACATGATTTTGAGAAAAAAGTTACCAACCACAGTTCCAACGGAGAAGATTTGAGAAAGAAGTAGCAGCAATTCGTGTTTGATGGAACAGATTACAAGCACCAGTGATCGAAAAACTCTAGTTGTTCTTAGGTGTAGGAGATGAGAGACCTTGACAGAAAATGGGAATGGGAATTTTTTTTATCCCCAGTCTCCAAGTCTAAATCTCACGGTTATTATTATCATTTTTGTTTGGAATTTTTATTATTATTAGTATTATTATTCACATTGTAAAAAAACACTCACAGAGTCGCACCAACATTCTCACACTTTTTCCTCAAACCCTTCCCCCCTCTTCGGATTTTGTAGTGCGTGAGTGGCATGATATTGACAGTAAGACTTTGGTGTTGTTTGATAATATTAAAAATTTTAAGACTTGAATTTTAAGACTTAAACTTTAAGGCTTTGGTAGGGTGGATTTGAAGGGAAAAATATTTAAAAAAAATATTTTTAAATTGGGTTAATTTCATCTATACTCCTTCAGGTTTGTCCATATTTCATTTACACTTTTTTTACGTTTCATAATTCCACCTACCTTTGAAATTTTGGTTTGCATAGCAAATTACCCTTTGCTGTTAAGCAACTCACGGTGTTGATGTCAGCATCAGCAAATGGTTAGAAAGTCAATTTTGCCCTTCTAATATCTGAAATGACATCTTTAACCTCCTTCACCCGTACGCAATTACAAAATTGCCCTTAATTTGTTAACTAAAGTATACAAGAAATTCCAGCCTTGGCAACAGCCTCGTCGTCTATCTCCGTCGCTTTAGCCTTCCCCTCTTTCACTGTCGCCGTCCAGTTTGGACCTTCTAAATCCCCAAAAGTAGACTTCACACTCGCCGACTTCATTATCTTCACCGGCAGTTAGGTGGAACTGATGGTCATCTGTGAGCTGATTGTAAATCTCATCCATTATTCGTAAATCGTCTCCAATTTTATCAAATGATTTGTTTCGGAACAAAATGGGTCTCCATTTCTAAACCTTATTGTTTTTAAGGCATTGAGGATACATAATCTTCAAACATGGTTACTTAGAGAGAGAGAGGAGAAAGTCAGAGAGGATTGTGGCTTCTGCAAATGATTTTAGAGAGAGAAACAATGCTAGAGAGATAAAAGGAGAGACAGACAGAGAAGATAAAAAATAAAAAATAAATAAAAACAATTAAAGCATAAAACTTCATTAAAAAAAAAAAAAAAAAAAAAAAGAAAAAGAAAAAGAAAAGAAAAGAAAGAAAGAAAGAAAGTGGTAAAAGTGGTACAATCTGGCAATCCAAACATGAGCGCCTTCTATTCTTCGCCATCGACGTCCACTTCGGCAGTGGTGGCGACGGAGGAGCCGACATCCACTTTGTTTTTCTTCACAGGAATGGAATCAGATTCTTAGGGTTGTGATGGTGATGGTTCGGATGGTGACGAAGTTACAAAGCTAGGCCGAATTCTTATACAGAGCTCTGGCGTGTGTATGGCCGTTTTGAATTGGGTTTCACCGAGGTGGGTTGAGGAATCGCTGCTCGCCGGACTGAATTGGGTTTGGTCGAACTTAGTTCGTTCTAGCTTTGAGAACGACTGAATCGCTGAACTGGGTTTCGTATGACTGAATCGCTGCTCGCCGAACTGAAAAAGGAGGAATCCTTAGTGCAGTCCAAACGCCGGTCTTCAACGCCGTCGAATCTACCGCCGTGTAGACACCGTCGTAACGCTGGACAAGAACGAGGTAAGCCGGATAAAAGACGACGGCGGCAAAGTTCCCAGCAACCTAGACCCAGTTCAGTCCGGCGATCCCAAGTCCTATGAAGCTCAATTCAATCCGACAAAGCTTCGTCGCCGGGAACAATGAAGAAGATAGGGAAAAAAAAAAAAAAAAAAATTTGCAAAAAACCCCCTGAACTATCCACTTTTTTGCAAATTCCCCCCTAAACTAGGCAAAGCATGCAAATACCCCCATGGAAGTCACCGGATCAGCTTTCCGGGCATGTGTAATGCCACGCGCCTGGTCAAAGTATTATAACGCCGAAAATGCCCTCCAGAAACTGAAGCACGAAGCCGAGAGGGAAGATCGGTGAGATTGGAGGGTAGTAAAAAATAATATAGACCTTTCTGCACTGAAATAGGGAAATATTTCATGTTTGATCCCTCACCAGCTGCCAACAATATTATTGGACTGTTCCGGTTATCGTCTTGAGTCAATCGGTTCATACTACCGGCCTGGTAAGATGTTGCGCCATTCGGTGGCCAAGGCGGAGATCAATGGGATGATGGCATATACAATGGGGTGGCAATTTGATAGCCTTTATGGAATGAAGTGTCTTATTCAAACTTGGGCCAGAGCACATATCATAGTAAACTATCCAATTCCACAATAAAGTCATGCCGGAAGATTGAAGAAGGCCGAATAACAAGGACTGTTGTTCATTACTCAACAAAGAAAACCACTCCTTTATACAATCAACAGGAAGAGATTTACTGACAATTGCTAGAAACTCGATATTACTCTTAACAAGGTCTTCAAAATTGACAGGAAGAAGCCCGAGTAAAGCAGTTATGGCAGCAATTCAAATGGAAAGACCCAATTTTCTTGTAGAGTTCTGAAATAAAAAAGAAGACAACCAAGATCTCAGGTATCCAACTCTAATGTCATCATATCCATTAGCATCAACTCTAATGTCATCAAGATCGGTGAAATTATTTTTTGTCGACGATGGGAAGATAGGTGAGATTGGAGGACTCTGCGGTGTAGAGAGCTTTGTATAACCCACATCAACGAGTAAGGATGTGCTCGAGACAGCGAGTTGAGGAAGACGGAGCTCACTGCCTTATCACAACCAACATATAAGTTCTAACCTCATCATCTCCCCCGCATCGTTTTAACACCAAACCAGTGTCGCGCGACAAAAACCATCAATTGGTTTGTTCGTTAATTACTCCACCATTGATGCCAAGTAACAATCACATAGCATCAGTGGCGATGAGGACGATGACTACCATGGCTGGAACAACATTGAAGACCCATCAGTGGCCGGAGTTCCAACATTGAACCGGCTTAGTTAGAACCCATATTTCCATTAAAAAACAGCTGATTAGACCAGCAAAAATCGACGAGACCTACTGGTAAGACGATGAGGCATGTTCATCGTGAATATCAGTGAAAGCTACAACTTCCTTCATCAACATGAACAAGTCCAGCCAGTTTCACCTTCATAGACCCACCAACTCCAGCAAAGTTGAAGAGACGGAACTCAAGTGAGAATTGCAGAACGATGAAAATTTCTCTTTCTAGCAACAACACCGGCGAGGAGCTTAAGCTCTCGACGGCCAACTGCAAGTGACAAATTAGCGAGACGCCGAGACCCAATTGCAGCAACAGTTCCGGCAAGCTTCAGTCCGGTGAAAAGTCTTTCTTTCCAGCAACAACACCGATTTGTGATTGTTGAGTTATCAGATCGGTGAAGATTCACAAAGAGAGATGACAATTTGTCAAAGAATGAAAGCTTAGGTGACATATTTGTGGTTGAATTTGGTGGTCTTGGTTTAGGGTTTTAATTGAAAAACAAAACTTTGTTACTTTTTTCCCAGCCTACACCAACCCATCATCACCTCCAATTATCCAAATAAATATTTTTTGTCCAAATCTTCAAACCCAATAATTGTGGACAACTCAATCATGGCGGCGACGGATTCCGATGGCCATGGCTGCCGAGAGAGGAAAAGCAGCAACGATAAAAGCAAAAATCCAGAGCAAAATCTTGGCAAGAATCCCATCCACTTATGAAAAGCAATACGGGTAAATTTGGATTCAAATTCAGGAAAAGAAGACAACACAATATTGCTTCATATGAAAATCAATGTTTGCAGTTGAGAATTCTCACTCACTCTTTCTCCATCAATTGCAGCCGCCACATTGATTGACTTTTGCAGGAAGAGTTATCTATTATAGGAATGAGCAAGATGCCTAATATTCATTAAGTTGAGGTTCTTTCTCTTGCCGAATTGACTGCTAATCAAGGCCAGTGAAGAAATTCCCCATTGTTCACTAAGGGTCCCCAGTTCTATCCACTCCCTATACTTGAGAGACCCAACATCATATGATGTAATCCTTAATATGAGAAATCGGGGTTTCACTACTCTCTCTCTCTCTCTATATATATATATTAAAAAGGGCAGTTTGGGCATTTTTATAATTTCACCAGGCGCGTGACTTTACACACGCCGGAAAAATTGATCCGATGAGTTCCAGGGGGGTATTTGCACACTTTGGTAGTTTAGGGGGGAATTTGCAAAAAAGTGTATAGTTCATGAGGTTTTTTGCAGTTTTGCCAAAGAAAAATGTATATATATATAATATATAGTGTGTGTATATATTTATATATATAATGGTGTTAAGGGTGTTAAAGTCTTTTTTTTTTCAGTTATAAATTTTAATATATAATTTAAGAGTAAAACGGTAAAATTACACATTTTTGTTAGTAAACTTGACGGTAGTTACTGACAGGGAGTGTAGGTGGAATTATGAAACATAAATGGGACGTGTGTAAAATATAGACAAACGTTAGGAGGTGTAGGTGAAATTAACCCTTTTAAATTTAGCCTTAAAATGGAGGATCAAAGTTTTTTCAACAAGGCGGGCTAAATCAAAATCTATTAACCAAAATCAACTATTATTTAAGTCAAATCAAAATATATCAACCAAAATCAACGGTTATTTAGGTCAATTTTAGTTAATTAACAATGTTTTCTTAAGACAATTGGCTGATTAAGGCATAGAAAATTCTATTTGAGTAATTAATAAAAAAAATTATCAATTTATATATAAACAATTCACCACTCAGTACCTATCTCTTCTTTTGACCAATTTACATCTTCAAAAAGCTTGCATGTTGATAAAAAATTGTTTCAGATTCAATCTCTGCAGATTTCTAATCCAATTCAGATTCTTTCTTCTTCTTCTTTTCTTTTATCAAGCCCAGATTCAAATTTTATTGTACACAAAATTGACAACCAAAAAAACAAATAGAAATAGAAGTTATAGAAATAAATTTTAAAAAAAAAAAAAAATTATTTGATTTGCTGAAACAAAATGAAGATTACGGTGATTGCCTCAAAATGCAATGCAAATTTTGTTACTTTATATTGTTATAAAAAAAAAATTATATTAAAGAGATCATAAAGATTAGTTTAACAAAATGCTCAATGTTAATAATCACTTCAAAAAAAATTTGTTGATAAGGATTGAAATTGAAAAGTTCAACTACCCTTCAAAATTGTAAAGCAAGAGACCAATTTTAT